TTGTTATTAAATGATAGAATTCACTAAAAGTATATAAATATGTAATAAATAAAATAATTTTGTGATAAAAATGATAAATGAGGTTTATCTATTGTCAATACATTGGTCATTCTCATTTACACCTGGAAAAAATAGCCAAAAAGCACAATTTTTGTAACTGGGCGGGACTACCCGACACATTTTGAAAAGAGCTGAAAAACACGTTTTTTTAAATTTCTATTTTTTTTAAGTTTAACTATTCTTTTTTTGGTTTATTCTTTTTGCATTATTTAATTAGATTATAAAACAATAGAAACATACAAAAACTTTTATTATTACTCAGTATTATACAGAAATATAAGCAATACTCCTTAAGTGAGCGGGGCTACCCGACTCTCCCCTATATATTTCGGGCATTTACCATAAGGCTACCAATTTCTATCATTCACAGTAACAACTATATACAAATATAGACGACTTTTAGAGATCACGTTGAAAGGTTAATACAGCATCACTTATGACAACAAGTATGATCAAGTGGTGTTTTGGATAAATTTTTGAGTTATTTATATGTTGTGGTAGGCAGTTTTACATTAAATCAAATTTATTAGGTCTGGAATTCTATATCAAATAACAAATTCTGCTACCACTAGAAAAAAAAATGCACACAGAACGGTATAGGTTGGCGTCCCTGCAAATATTGTTATTTACAAAATTTCTTCTTTTCAGTGTTTTTTTAGAAGTCTAGTTTTAGATTTTTTTTTAACGATCTAAATAAATTTTAGATTCACCCACGAAAAAAAAAGAAAGAAAATAGGATTCTAAGGCATGCAGATCTGCGAATTTACCGATTTTTAACCGGAGATTTTCTTGTGTTAGTACAATTTATAAATTAAAACTTGAATTCATGATATTTTTGCCGCCACGACATGTTATAGAAAAAGTTCTGATAATCACTGCTTTAAATTTATTAAAGTTTTTGAGAACATTAAAACGCATGTACTAAATTAATTGTGGATTCGAATAAGAATAGAATATTGCGTGCATTTGACAATTGACGGCTGTGGCTAATGACACTGACTCGTTAGGTATAATAAGATCTTGTGAAATTATGCCTATTCTAGATATTTATGGATCGTAGAGGTCAAAATCTTATAATTATTTAAATTATTTGTATTATTTAAATTATTTGTACTAAAATAAGAAGCGAATTTGCTAAATCAAGAATTTAAGAGCATGAACAAGATCTTCTTAGAATAATTAATTTGAGTAGGAATTTAAATTTTACTACTACTCAGAAATTTAAAAAAAAAATAATTTAGTGGTATCAGCTATGCCTGTAAACATTAAATGAATTATTGTTAAATGACGATAGCAAAGTCTTCATTCTGTAATAGTGCGTTTTAGTTTTTGTTATTTTATAATGAGCTTCGTTCTATAGCGTATTCGAATATGTTGCATTTTTTTCTAGGTCCCGAGGTACGGCAATAGAACGAGTTAATTCAATTTTAACTTCTACCATTTTGTTTTATCCTAACCTAAAAGATGCGGGTCTGGTCGTAATTGGTAGATACGGTACGGATCGCTATCAAGTAGATATAGCAATCAGAAAATAAGTCCTGTTGAAATTTATTTCTTTATATTT